TTGAAAAGAAGATCAAGAAGGATAAACACATGAATAACGAAAAGATCATCTGAAAAGCGAAACTCACTTTTCTGCAAGAACAAAAACTTTGAGAATACACTCTCAAGCTTTATAGATCATTAGCTTACATTTTTAAGAAGAGAGAAAATCCTACAAGGTCTATTAAATTTATAGCTCAGTTGAGTTAAACACCTACTAGACAATTGTCTAAGGGAAACCAGGTGTGGGTAAACTCATACTAGTCAGCATTACATGTGTTACCAAGATTGACTAGGAGAAACCAAGAGTGGGTAAACTTAGACTAGTCAGCGTAACAAGTGTTATCAAGGTTGACTAAGGGAACCAGGAGTGGTATAGAATACTTGAAGTAGTCAACGTAACATGTGTTACTAGGATTGGGTAGGGTTTCCAGGAATGGTGTCTAATACTCAATTCTAGTTATCGTAATAGGTGTTACCAGGATTGACTAGTGTAACGAGAAGTGGTGCTAATACTCAGTTGTAATCTTGTTGAAACTATAGTGGAATCTTCTAAGAGGCCTTACATGTACATCACATTTTCATTGTGCTAGCTACGTGTAAAAGAAAGAAAACATGCTGAATAGAAAAGCTTCTCGCGGGCCACTCGGCGTAAACTTGCACTAGACGAGTGACTAATCCGCAAGTTCAAATGAGGCTTCATGTATCATGAGCTTGAGTGGACTTCTCTTAGTCCAATTAGCTACAAATTGAGCAATTTCAAATCAGGCTTCATGTATCATGGGCTTGAGTGGGCTTCTCTTGGTCCAATTAGCTATGAATTTGAGCTTGTTTTACAAAACTTTGAGGTCCTTTTATGCTTTTTCTTCAGGTTCTTCTTACATTCTCTTTATCATCGTATTGTGAGAACTATTTTAGCGAGGTTTATTCCATTAACAAATAAAAGAGAAAAGATACAAATTAGATATTTTATTTTTGGTTTAAACCCTCGAATGGTCCTCATATTTATATGGGAATCTCAAATGGGCCATCATTTTTTTTCGGTCTCAATTGGGTCATATTTTTTGTAAAAATGAGCCAATTTTACCCTAATCGTTAAGTGCTCTTAGACGACGTTAAGTTTAGCTGAGCTGTATTTTATATTTTGATGACGTGGCATTGTTCATTAAAATTGAATGGGTGATGTGTTTTAAATCATCGAATCCACGTGGCGCCGATGCTTCTTATTCCCTCCAACCATTGATCACCTTTCACCTCTTCCGCTCCTCCGCCCAAGTTGCTTTCTTCCCACTCCCATCCTCAAACCCTCACTCCCTAGACACACCCTTTCTCCCTCTCAAAACTAAAAAACGTCGTTGTAGGGGGCGCATTTGTCGAACTCCTCTTCTCCTCCGCCAATGGAGCACCTCATCTTCCATTCTCTCACTTCTCCTTTTCCCTCACTCTCACTTCATTTCTCTCTCTCCAGAAATGGCATCAAAACTATCATTCATGGTGTGTTTCATGGCTCTATGCGCCATTGATCTAGCACAAAGCGCACCATCCCCTCAAGCGCCAGCACCGTCCGTGGATTGCTCAACCCTTGTTCTCACCATGGCCGATTGCTTGTCCTTTTTCACCAATGGCAGCACCGTCACCATGCCAGAGGATACCTGCTATTCTGACATCAAGTCTGTGCTCAAAACTGCCATGTTTGCCTTTGCGAGGCTTTCAAAAGCAGTGCTCAGTTTGGTGTGATTTTGAATGTCTGCAAGGTCATAAAGATTAGTGCTTTCAAAACTGCCCCTGTTTGTCTTTTCATTTTCTTTATGGTAGATTTCTTCATAAAGATCATTGCTTTCGACTTCTTGGTTGGTTAAAGGTTTTATTTTTACAAACAACATTTCTATAGTTTACATCTATTCCAATTCAAATATAAATATTCATAGGAAGTTGATGAAACAAGAATCATATTTCTTTAGGAAAACACGACAGTGATAGCAACAAGCTCCTCCCTTTAGAGCACTCACGGCAAAATATTCCTCCACAAAGCCAGCAGTGATGTCGAGAGCACATGATGGGATGAAACCTCACACCACAAAGCATACAAGAAGAAGCAACACTATCAGAGGAAAAAGAATCAAAATACTCTTTAGTATTGCAACTCCTCCTCCTACCACCCACCTCATCATCCTGTCAATAATATTAAGCACCATAAACAAAATCATACATGTTTCCCCAAACTATATCCAGACCCAAAGGAAAAATTGATATAATTTTAACTTTAAAGTAACATATTAATTTAATGTTTGTAGATGATCCATGAATAATTCCCTTATTCCTCTCTCTCTTCTGGTCTTACTTTCAAATGCAACATGAACACATTAATGTTTGTGAACTGTAATGGTAAAGCATCGGCGTCGTGGAAGGTGATTTAAAACACATCAGTCATTCAATTTTAATGAACAATGCCACGCCATCAAAATATAAAATACAGCTTAGCTAAACTTAACGCCGTCTGAGAGCACTTAACGGTTAGGGTAAAATTGGCTCATTTTTACAAAAAATGACCCAATTGAGACTGAAAAAAAAAATGATGACCCATTTGAGATTTTCATATAAATACGAGGACCATCCGAGGGTTTAAACCTTTATTTTTCCATCAATTTTAAATTTACTATAAATATAATATAATTTAAAATTTTTAATAAGATAACGTTAGTAGTTTTAGAGAACTGTCATATTCTTGTAGAATATATATATATATATATATATATATATTGATTTACTGTTTCGAATTTTTTTTTAATCGAATCAGTTGATAACTGAGATTAAAAGCTTTTTTTTAGTTTTGAAATTGGTGTCAAATGTCGAAAATAATTCTGTTATTTTCTTTCATTCTACCAGTAAATCTATAAATAATGACCGTAATTCAAACATATATTTTATATTTTAAAGTTATAAAAATTCAAATTAATAAGTTATAACTCAAACTATTATTATGATTAAGTTATGTGATTCTTGTTGCTCTCGTTAGACTATATATGTATGCTATGTAGAAGAAGTGTAATTATACAAATAAGTCACTAGTGCAGAAAGGATTTTAGACATATGTTATTTTGGGCTTTTAACGTTTGATATTTGTCCAACATCTATATGGGTGACGTTAATGAGACGTCGGACCCTTTAGGTCAAACGTCTATAGACGTTGGACCCATACAGGTCAGACGTCTCTAAGATTGCTCCTGACTCTTGGTGATTCGAGTTTACATCTTTATATTTTAGTTGAAGAGAATGTGATGTATTGTACATTTTTTTTATTGGATGGTTTTAAAAATGTAGTGGAGGGAATTGGAGGAGTACAAAACGCAAGAAATCTCCGTCAAAGAACGTCGCCCAAGTACACAAGAATAACTGCACCAAAACCCAACGAAAACGCATTTTAATCGGTTCAAATGAAAGATAATGCATCAAAAGAGTGATGTAGTCAGACTAAAATTAATTTAAACCGGTGCAAAAGTGAGAAAACGAACCTGAAAAGCTAACTCGTAGAGAGAAAATGCGACGAAGATGATGAACAATGAGTGCACGTAACGGCTGTCTCGCGTTCACGTTGTTTTAATGCCGAAATTTAGACGTCGGTTCCCCAATTAACAGACGTCTAAAGTGCTTTAGAAGTCGAAGTGGCCGGATCGGACGTTTAAAGGGAGTCAAAAAGTGACTTTTACAATTTATGGGTTTAGGGTTTAGACGTCGGTTCCCCAATTAACCGACGTCTAAAGTGCTTTAGAAGTCGGAGTGACGGGATCGGACGTCTAAAGGGAGTCAAAAAGTGACTTATAAAATTTCTGGATTTAGGGTTTAGACGTCGATTCCCCCAATTAACAGACGTCTAAAGTACTTTAGAAGTCGGAGGGGCGGGATCGGACGTCTAAAGGGAGTCAAAAAGTGACTATTTAAATTTCTGGGTTTATGATTTAGATTTCGGTTTCCCCAATAACAAACGTCTAAATAGAATAAAAAAATATTTTTTATTAACTTTTTCGTTTAGTTTTGGCATCTATTCGGGGGAGCCGACGTATATGAGTATTTTGACGTCGGACCCCTCCATAGTCAAGGTCTAAATAGTTGTTTTATTTACGAAAAATATCATCGATCATTTTTTATGTTGAATATTCGAAGATCAGACGTCTAAAAAGTAACGTTAAAGGTCTTTTTGCACTAGTGAGTAATCATGGACTTGCTTAAGGGACCAAAACGGGTCTTCATTATCAGATAATATCCCAATTTCAATACAAGATTATTTTATGTCTTGTTCGAGTCAGAACCAAACTTAAAAGCAAAAAAAAAGTAAGATAGAAGGAGACAGAAAGAAAGGTTTAGAGGTGGGAGGAAATTAAGGATACTAATATTTATAGGTCCTCATCATAGTTTTCTGCTTTTATTCAATGTAATTTTACTTTCATGTGAGTGCTTTTACAAATATATCACTTTTTCTTTAATTTATCTAAATATTGCAATTTTTTATTTTAAATCTAACCATATTATTTTAATGTTATCATTGTCCATCACTTGAACAATTTTAGCAGAAACTCAACAATTTTCACGAGTTTAGATATGCTACACCGAACCAGAATTCAATGTCAATATAAATGAAAAAAAGAAAAGAAAAGAATGTTTGTTTAATAATTACAACAAAATGATATTGAAATAACGTTATAAATTGATTAAAATTAAATTGAGGTGTTCCATGTTCTTCTAAATTGTATTTATACTTTCAACTTCGTTCATTATTATAATTACGTGTCTCAGAGATATATGTGTAATGTGAAACAGATGCATTGCTTATGCTTTCATGATGAACATGATATAAAAAGAGAGATGGTCCAAAAAGCAAAAGGAAAGTTATAGGTAATTTAAAAAATACAGATTGTAATCTGAAAAAATCCACAACTAATGGCTAAAGTAAAAAGGGTTCTGTGATGGGTATGTAAAGATCATGTATCTGACTGTGTTGCATTATTGCTTTCTCTTCTAAAATTCGTGAGTTCTTCAATTCCTTCCATGGAATTGGCGTCTTCATCATCCAAACTGCAACGGAAGTACGATGTGCTCATCAACTTCACTGAAATAGAAGACATTCGCAAGAAATTTGTTTCTCATCTCGATTCTGCCCTCTCTGCTAATGGGCTCACCACTTTGCTTCACCACGAGAATGCATTGCAGCCATTGCACATCCAACAACCTATTCTTCATCTGTGTCGGGTAGCAATTGTTGTTTTCACCAAAACTTATTCTCAATCTGCTTGGTGTCTTCATCAGCTTCAACAAATAATTGAATGGCACCAAACTTATTCCCGACATGTTCTGCCCGTATATTACGAAATTGAGCCATCTGATGTACGTCTTCAGAAGGGTGATTTTGGAGAAGCCTTTAAAGCAACTGCACACCAAACATTTTCTGAACAACAACTGGAGGATGGCGTGTCCAGGTGGAGCCACGCACTCACCAAAGCTGCGAATTTCTTTGGATGGGATGAGAGCAATCACAGGTATGCAGAACTAGTGGATTTAAGCTTGTGATTTAACTTTGCTGATAAATGACTTCTTCTATAATTGCTATTGAACTTGAAGGAGTGATGCAGAACTAGTGGACACAATTGTTAAGAGCGTTCTTAATTTACCAGTCTTGTCTGTTACTAAATTTCCGGTTGGATTGCAATCCCAAGTGGAAGATGTGATTCGAACTATAAAAAATAAATCAATGGAAGTGTGTAGGATAGGGATATGTGGAATGGAAGGATCGGGTAAAACGACCCTTGCCAAAGCCATCTACAATCAAATTCATGGTACATTCATGGAGAAAAGTTTCATTGAAGATGTTTCAGAAGTCAATCGAACAAGAGGGTGTATTCATTTACAAGCACAACTTCTTTCAGATGTCCTAAAATCAAGAGTGGAGATTCATAGCGTTGAGATGGGAACAAGTATGATTCAGGAAAGACTTCATGGGAAAAGGATGCTAATTGTACTCGACGATATGATCAATGAGTACTATCCATTATTCGACCTTAGGAAATGTTGTGCATGGTTCGGTAAAGGAACTGTAATTATCATCACAACAAAAGATGTAGAGCTACTGAGGAAGCACCAAGTTGATTCTATTTTTCGGATGAATCTAATGAATGCAAATGAGTCCCTTGAGCTTTTTAGTTGGCATGCATTTCGAGAAGCAAAACCAAAAGAATACAGCGACCTTGCAAAAACAGTAGTTACTTATTGTGGAGGACTACCTCTTGCGCTTGAACTCATTGGAGCTTGTTTATTTGAAAGGACGAAAGAAGAATGGAACAGAGTATTGTTAAGATTAGACAATAAGATTTATTCTTTGATGTATGTTGTTCCACTGATATTGAAAATAAGCTTCGACGGTTTAAGGAATAAAATTGAAAAAGATTTATTCCTTGATATATGTTGTTTCTTTGTTGGTAAAGGCAGAGCCTATGTTAAGAAGATGCTGAATGGCTGTGGAGTTGACCCTGATAGTGGAATAAGAGTTCTGATAGAGCGTAACCTCATAAAAGTTAAAAAGAACAACAAATTTGGAATGCATCCTTTGCTACGAGATATGGGAAGAGGAATTATTCGTGAAAATTCAAAAGAGGAACCTGGGAAGAACAGTCGAATGTGGTATGATAGTGATGCAGAATATGCACTGTCAGAGAATACAGTAAGAACAATCTCGATCTATGGTTTTGAAACTTCTTTTTGGAAGTGAATGTTTTCTCATGTGCAATATATTTTTTTTTCTTAGCTATTTTCATCACAGAGGACAAAAGTCATTCAAGGATTGCCTGAGAAACTGTTTTTAACCAGTACAGATGGCTTCAAACCTTCTCCTTTAAAGGAAACAAACACATCAAGAATGTTGAAACTCACTGGAGATTCTGGGTACGTTTCTAAGAAATTGAGATGGATCAGTTTGCGAGGGTTTCCTTCAGAATACCTACGTAACAATTTTTATCTCCATGATGCAATAGCAATTGATTTAAAACACAGTCTTCTTCGATTCGTCTGGAAACAACCCCAGGTTTTTTTTCTTACGTGCCATATTCTTTTGAAACCCAGCTTAACATAAAAATAGTATTTGATTCCAGTTATAACTATTTTATTTTATCATTTTCTTTTCTAACATTTTATCCAAAAACTATGTTCTTGAAGGTTTTGCTTTGGCTAAAAGTTCTTAATCTTAGTCACTCCAAGTACTTGACAAAAACCCCTGACTTTATCGGACTACCACGTCTTGAACAACTCATTCTCAAAGATTGTCCACGTTTGAACGAAGTACACCAATCTATTGGATGTCTTTGCTATCTTACACTGCTAAATTTAAAGGACTGTACAAGGCTAAGCAATCTCCCAAAAGAGATATATGAGTTGACAACTTTGCAAACTCTCATTCTTTCTGGTTGTTCGAAAATTGACCTATTGAAAAAAGATATAATGCAAATGGAATCCTTGGTAACTCTAATTGCTGAAAATACAGTTGTGAAACAATTGCCTTTTTCAATGGTAAGTTCAAAAAGCATTGGATATATATCTTTATGTGGACTTGAGGGATTGTCACATAATCTCTTTCCTTCTATCATTCGGTCTTGGATGTCATCAACAATGAATAAGCTGTCTTATAAACATTCGTTTTGCATGGATATGGAAGATAATAGTTGGGATGATTTTGTGCCATTTCTTAGCAGTCTTGCAAATCTTCGAAGTGTTTTGGTGCAATGTGATACCGAATTTCAACTATCTAAGCAAGTAGAAACTATTTTGATTGAATATGGAGCAAATATTACAGAATCAGGAACTTCAAAGCAGCACTTCAAGTCTTCTTTGATTGGTGTTGGTAGATGCAAAGATTTCTTCAATGCTGTCAGTGATAGAATTTCTGAGGTTCTTCTCTAGCTTCCCTTTGTTCATTACCTTCTAAAAGTATCTGATTTTAATAACCAACTAACCAAGTGATTTTGCTTACACTAAGTACTAGCAAATTGATTTCCACTTTCTTGATATACTAGCTTCATTATTGTTTAATCATTTTTTAACTAAACATGCCCTTATTTATCTCACGATACAGGTATTTGCAAGCAGTGAGTCATGTGATATTTCTCTTCCAAGTGACAATGATCCTTATTGGTTGGCGCATAGAGGTGAAGGACATTCTGTTTCTTTCNTTTAGACGTCGATTCCCCCAATTAACAGACGTCTAAAGTACTTTAGAAGTCGGAGGGGCGGGATCGGACGTCTAAAGGGAGTCAAAAAGTGACTATTTAAATTTCTGGGTTTATGATTTAGATTTCGGTTTCCCCAATAACAAACGTCTAAATAGAATAAAAAAATATTTTTTATTAACTTTTTCGTTTAGTTTTGGCATCTATTCGGGGGAGCCGACGTATATGAGTATTTTGACGTCGGACCCCTCCATAGTCAAGGTCTAAATAGTTGTTTTATTTACGAAAAATATCATCGATCATTTTTTATGTTGAATATTCGAAGATCAGACGTCTAAAAAGTAACGTTAAAGGTCTTTTTGCACTAGTGAGTAATCATGGACTTGCTTAAGGGACCAAAACGGGTCTTCATTATCAGATAATATCCCAATTTCAATACAAGATTATTTTATGTCTTGTTCGAGTCAGAACCAAACTTAAAAGCAAAAAAAAAGTAAGATAGAAGGAGACAGAAAGAAAGGTTTAGAGGTGGGAGGAAATTAAGGATACTAATATTTATAGGTCCTCATCATAGTTTTCTGCTTTTATTCAATGTAATTTTACTTTCATGTGAGTGCTTTTACAAATATATCACTTTTTCTTTAATTTATCTAAATATCGCAATTTTTTATTTTAAATCTAACCATATTATTTTAATGTTATCATTGTCCACCACTTGAACAATTTTCACGAGTTTAGATATACTACACCGAACCAGAATTCAATGTCAATATAAATGAAAAAAAGAAAAGAAAAGAATGTTTGTTTAATAATTACAACAAAATGATATTGAAATAACGTTATAAATTGATTAAAATTAAATTGAGGTGTTCCATGTTCTTCTAAATTGTATTTATACTTTCAACTTCGTTCATTATTATAATTACGTGTCTCAGAGATATATGTGTAATGTGAAACAGATGCATTGCTTATGCTTTCATGATGAACATGATATAAAAAGAGAGATGGTCCAAAAAGCAAAAGGAAAGTTATAGGTAATTTAAAAAATACAGATTGTAATCTGAAAAAATCCACAACTAATGGCTAAAGTAAAAAGGGTTCTGTGATGGGTATGTAAAGATCATGTATCTGACTGTGTTGCATTATTGCTTTCTCTTCTAAAATTCGTGAGTTCTTCAATTCCTTCCATGGAATTGGCGTCTTCATCATCCAAACTGCAACGGAAGTACGATGTGCTCATCAACTTCACTGAAATAGAAGACATTCGCAAGAAATTTGTTTCTCATCTCGATTCTGCCCTCTCTGCTAATGGGCTCACCACTTTGCTTCACCACGAGAATGCATTGCAGCCATTGCACATCCAACAACCTATTCTTCATCTGTGTCGGGTAGCAATTGTTGTTTTCACCAAAACTTATTCTCAATCTGCTTGGTGTCTTCATCAGCTTCAACAAATAATTGAATGGCACCAAACTTATTCCCGACATGTTCTGCCCGTATATTACGAAATTGAGCCATCTGATGTACGTCTTCAGAAGGGTGATTTTGGAGAAGCCTTTAAAGCAACTGCACACCAAACATTTTCTGAACAACAACTGGAGGATGGCGTGTCCAGGTGGAGCCACGCACTCACCAAAGCTGCGAATTTCTTTGGATGGGATGAGAGCAATCACAGGTATGCAGAACTAGTGGATTTAAGCTTGTGATTTAACTTTGCTGATAAATGACTTCTTCTATAATTGCTATTGAACTTGAAGGAGTGATGCAGAACTAGTGGACACAATTGTTAAGAGCGTTCTTAATTTACCAGTCTTGTCTGTTACTAAATTTCCGGTTGGATTGCAATCCCAAGTGGAAGATGTGATTCGAACTATAAAAAATAAATCAATGGAAGTGTGTAGGATAGGGATATGTGGAATGGAAGGATCGGGTAAAACGACCCTTGCCAAAGCCATCTACAATCAAATTCATGGTACATTCATGGAGAAAAGTTTCATTGAAGATGTTTCAGAAGTCAATCGAACAAGAGGGTGTATTCATTTACAAGCACAACTTCTTTCAGATGTCCTAAAATCAAGAGTGGAGATTCATAGCGTTGAGATGGGAACAAGTATGATTCAGGAAAGACTTCATGGGAAAAGGATGCTAATTGTACTCGACGATATGATCAATGAGTACTATCCATTATTCGACCTTAGGAAATGTTGTGCATGGTTCGGTAAAGGAACTGTAATTATCATCACAACAAAAGATGTAGAGCTACTGAGGAAGCACCAAGTTGATTCTATTTTTCGGATGAATCTAATGAATGCAAATGAGTCCCTTGAGCTTTTTAGTTGGCATGCATTTCGAGAAGCAAAACCAAAAGAATACAGCGACCTTGCAAAAACAGTAGTTACTTATTGTGGAGGACTACCTCTTGCGCTTGAACTCATTGGAGCTTGTTTATTTGAAAGGACGAAAGAAGAATGGAACAGAGTATTGTTAAGATTAGACAATAAGATTTATTCTTTGATGTATGTTGTTCCACTGATATTGAAAATAAGCTTCGACGGTTTAAGGAATAAAATTGAAAAAGATTTATTCCTTGATATATGTTGTTTCTTTGTTGGTAAAGGCAGAGCCTATGTTAAGAAGATGCTGAATGGCTGTGGAGTTGACCCTGATAGTGGAATAAGAGTTCTGATAGAGCGTAACCTCATAAAAGTTAAAAAGAACAACAAATTTGGAATGCATCCTTTGCTACGAGATATGGGAAGAGGAATTATTCGTGAAAATTCAAAAGAGGAACCTGGGAAGAACAGCCGAATGTGGTATGATAGTGATGCAGAATATGCACTGTCAGAGAATACAGTAAGAACAATCTCGATCTATGGTTTTGAAACTTCTTTTTGGAAGTGAATGTTTTCTCATGTGCAATATATTTTTTTTTCTTAGCTACTTTCATCACAGAGGACAAAAGTCATTCAAGGATTGCCTGAGAAACTGTTTTTAACCAGTACAGATGGCTTCAAACCTTCTCCTTTAAAGGAAACAAACACATCAAGAATGTTGAAACTCACTGGAGATTCTGGGTACGTTTCTAAGAAATTGAGATGGATCAGTTTGCGAGGGTTTCCTTCAGAATACCTACGTAACAATTTTTATCTCCATGATGCAATAGCAATTGATTTAAAACACAGTCTTCTTCGATTCGTCTGGAAACAACCCCAGGTTTTTTTTCTTACGTGCCATATCCTTTTGAAACCCAGCTTAACATAAAAATAGTATTTGATTCCAGTTATAACTATTTTATTTTATCATTTTCTTTTCTAACATTTTATCCAAAAACTATGTTCTTGAAGGTTTTGCTTTGGCTAAAAGTTCTTAATCTTAGTCACTCCAAGTACTTGACAAAAACCCCTGACTTTATCGGACTACCACGTCTTGAACAACTCATTCTCAAAGATTGTCCACGTTTGAACGAAGTACACCAATCTATTGGATGTCTTTGCTATCTTACACTGCTAAATTTAAAGGACTGTACAAGGCTAAGCAATCTCCCAAAAGAGATATATGAGTTGACAACTTTGCAAACTCTCATTCTTTCTGGTTGTTCGAAAATTGACCTATTGAAAAAAGATATAATGCAAATGGAATCCTTGGTAACTCTAATTGCTGAAAATACAGTTGTGAAACAATTGCCTTTTTCAATGGTAAGTTCAAAAAGCATTGGATATATATCTTTATGTGGACTTGAGGGATTGTCACATAATCTCTTTCCTTCTATCATTCGGTCTTGGATGTCATCAACAATGAACAAGCTGTCTCATAAACATTCGTTTTGCATGGATATGGAAGATAATAGTTGGGATGATTTTGTGCCATTTCTTAGCAGTCTTGCAAATCTTCGAAGTGTTTTGGTGCAATGTGATACCGAATTTCAACTATCTAAGCAAGTAGAAACTATTATGATTGAATATGGAGCAAATATTACAGAATCAGGAACTTCAAAGCAGCACTTCAAGTCTTCTTTGATTGGTGTTGGTAGATGCAAAGATTTCTTCAATGCTGTCAGTGATAGAATTTCTGAGGTTCTTCTCTAGCTTCCCTTTGTTCATTACCTTCTAAAAGTATCTGATTTTAATAACCAACTAACCAAGTGATTTTGCTTACACTAAGTACTAGCAAATTGATTTCCACTTTCTTGATATACTAGCTTCATTATTGTTTAATCATTTTTTAACTAAACATGCCCTTATTTATCTCACGATACAGGTATTTGCAAGCAGTGAGTCATGTGATATTTCTCTTCCAAGTGACAATGATCCTTATTGGTTGGCGCATAGAGGTGAAGGACATTCTGTTTCTTTCACTGTGCCTCAGAACCGTGTATTGAAGGGAATGGCTTTATGTGTTGTTTATTTGTCAAATCCTGAAATTCTGACAACTGAATGTTTTAGAAGCGTCTTAATTGTTAATTACACAAAGTGCACATTACAGATGCACAACCATGGGATGGTAATTATCTTTAATGATATAGATTGGCAAGGTATAATATCAAATTTAGGATCAGGAGACAAGGTGGATATTTTTGTGATATTTGGTCATGGATTACTAGTCAAAAGAACAATTGTCTATCTGATATGTGGTGAATCAAATGACATACAAAAGGAGCCTGCGCCAAAGAAAAATTCCCTGACTAGATTTATAAAGAAAAAGGAAAAGTGAATTTTGGTAAGTCATTATCTTCTTTTGAGAAGAGCAGGATCCCTTAAGTTATGGAATTAATCCGTGTGTCCTTGATTGTAATTTATTTTTTCTCAAACTTTCCTTGTGTTTCTTTCAGTTAAGAAATTCATCTTTGTTTTACTCTGTTTCTCGCTCTTCGCATTGTGCTTCCTTGGTTTTATTTGAGGTGTTTGAAACTTTTCTTTTCAAAATGTTTTTCGTAGGAAAAAACTTAAATTTAGTAGTTATCAAATAAATAATTATTAAGAGTTATAGTGTTTATTGTATTGGGAGAGAAGAATAAGTTACTTTGTTATGTTTTACCATTATTATGGTGTATTATTTTAATAATTAGGAGCATTATAGTCAGTAGATGAAAGACCTAATGTTAGTATCCTATAAATTTAAGGTTTATGAGAGATGAAAACACACTAGAAGCATATTAAAATATCTAAGTGAGTGTCATTTTCTAACACATTGGCATCTGAGATGACTCAGTGTCTAAGTCAGAAAGAGATAGTGAGAGAGAGATGGTCAGCCTAGCATACAGTATGTCTCTGCCTCGGTTGACAAAGAAAGTCAACTTTGACAATTGGAGTGTGCAAATGAGAATCCTTCTTGAATCCCAAGACGTTTGGGATGTTGTAGCGAATGACTATGAAGAGCCCATGGTAGATGTATGGCAGACAGTGGCCCCACTTGTCGCATTTAGAAAATCATGAGTTAACGATCAATCAGCTCTGTACATACTATATCGAGTTGTTGATGAGTCTGGCTTTGAGAAGATAGTGAATGTTAAATCTTCAAAAGAAGCGTGATGGATTCTTTAGAAAGTTTACAAAGACAATAACTGTGTAAAGCAAGTTAGACTTCAAACTCTCAGACGTAAGTTTGAGAGTCCGAGAATGAAGAGTAGAGAACAAACGATCGAGTATATATCTCGACTAGAGGTTATTGCAAATCAACTCGGAAGAAATGAAGAGGAGTTGCCTACTAGCTGTATTGTGGAGAAGATCCTAAGGTCACGGACTAAGGACTTTGAGAATATTGTGTGTTCAATTAGAGTCATATGAGCAGCGAAGGAGAACGTTGTTTGAGCCACTTTATAAGGTACTTTAGGTAAAATTTGACTTGAAGGAAGTGCTCCTTGGACAAGGTGTTCCTAGAGCAAGGTGTTCCTAGAGCAAGAGGTCGTGGACAAGGAGGTCGTGGCCAAGGTGATCATAAAGACAAAGATGAACAAATGGGGCAACAAAACTGGAGAGGTAGTGGAAAAGCGAGAGGTCAAAGAGGTCGGTCTATTAATTCTAGAGTAGAATGCTATAAATTTGGTAAACATGGTCATTATGCCAGTGACTATAGGTCGGCCAAGTGTTATAATTGTGGTAAGGTCAGCCACATAGCAAAATGATGTTGAGCTGAAAAGAAAAAGGAAACAAATTTCCTTACTAAGGAGGCTAATAAAGAGATTGGGATCCTAATGATGTCAAGAACCCCAAAGATTGAACTGTCGAGTTGTAAGATCGGGCTGCCAAGTTGGAGTACGAAACTCATTCCGAGTTACTTGATATTTAGGAGTATGGAAGTCGAGGTGAATATAAACAAAATAACAGATGTCAAGTTAAAGTCGAGTTGTTCAAACAACTTGGTTTGGTATCTAGATACCGAGGCTAGTAATCACATGTGCGATGATGAAAGCATGTTTAGAGAGCTCATTAAAGTAGATGTCAAATGAGTGGTATTCAAATAATAGGTTGAATGAGTTGTTGTTAAGCTCTAGCTAATGAATTCAGCTTGTGTTGGTATTTGTGATGCGGAAGGGAGGGGAGGGTCGTCGGTGGCTGAGGAGGTTGGTGGGAACATCCATGGTGGGGGAATGGGGTTGTGGTGGAACGGGAGAAAATCTGGGAAGATTGATGTCAGAAAAAAAAAATGATGTGACACTCCACCGTCAGCCAGCTTAGCATTTTTTAACGTTGTAGTTTTGGAGGACGAAAAATTATAATTTCCTTAAAGAGAAGGACCAAAATGTAGCTGAGTTTGAAAGAGAGACTAAAAACAAATTCACACAAAATCGCTTGATAGTTTAGGGACTAAAAACATATTAACCCTATTATAAAATAGTAATACAAAATAATTATATAAAAGATAAATAATACAAATAATAATATAATAAATCTATTGTGAAATATGTTTTGATAATTATTACACTGTATATACAGCGTAAAGATACCAAAATAAGAAACACACAAATACCTATCATCTATATTAACATAGTCTTTCTCATGGCTATACCTTAGTATCAACTAAAATTTTCTAAATTAGCGTTACTCCCTAAACAATAAATTTCAGAAATTAAATTTTTAAAGTTTCAAAAGTAAATTTTTATAAATTTAAAAATTAAAGTCAAACTTGACACGAAATTTAAAGTAAAAAAACATAATTAATTGCATATCTATAACATTTAAATCTTTCCCATTTCCTGAGAAATGCTGGGCCACAATTTCACGTGCAGAGTAATCTGCTTGGTCCATGACCCTGAACAACTGGAAATGGTTTTCCCGTTTCCTAGAAGAAAATAAAAATAAAACTATTAAAAAAATATAATGATTTATTTACTAGTGTAAAAAAATAAAGAAAATATTTATTATTCAAATAAAAAAGAAATATTTTAATAAATAGCATTAACAAGAATCAAACTTGTATATTTGGGACAGCTATATATCTGTCTTTCCCAAGTTCAATATTTTTTTCTTTTGAAATTGTTTATCACTTTACTAAACATTGTGTTAGCATAAGAAAAAACACTTTACAAAAATTAAGTGCAAATACTTTCAACTTATTAATAGTGTTGCTGAATGAAAATTAATATTTAAGGTCAATATACTTAAATACTTAATACACGGTAATTTAACTTAAATACTTTAATACTATTACATTATAATTTTAATGCAGAGTAAAATCCTAAACAAAATACTTAAAATATATTTCAATCTATAATTTCTCAATTAATTTTAAATATTGTGAAAATGCATGTGTCTGTCTCCAGTTTTAATGATAACGAAAGATAAAAATATAATTAAAAATTTATAAATTATAATGAAATTAATTAAAAAATATTACTAAAATTATTAAAGTTGTAAAAAATTGTATAATAAAAATATTTATACTAAATGTTTATGGAACTCTTAAATGTTTATACTAAAGAACTTAATTGTTGATTTTGTTAATTAGGGTAAAAAAAAGTCATATTTTCAGTGGTACATTAATGTACACATAGTACATACATTCAAAAAATAGTATAAATTTCATTAATCTCTAAATTTCAGGAGATTATAGTTTCCTGCATCTTAATTATGTGGATAAAGAAAATATATGAAAACCGAAAAATTGAATTTTTGCTATAAATTACAAATAAACAAAATCCATTTTCTTTAATAATTATAAGAAGTAGGTTAAAACCCATGTCAGTAAAATGAGATTTTCAATGTAACTTTTATTTATTGCACAGTGATATATTGGGAAACTCAATTTCAAGTTTTAAGAAAATTGGAATGAATGAAAGAGCCATGCAGGAAAATGGTGAGGTGGCATATTCATATTAAAGATATAGGAAGAACATAGACCACGTGATTGTTTTCTGTGCAACCAATGCATGTTAGTTATAATCTGAGGCCAAACATGAATAGAGAGAGAACCTTCACCAACTTTCTCCTGAACCTGAAGGCTTATATAATTCTACTAAGTCTGAAAAGAAAAATGCAGACAATAGAGTGTGAGAGAGATTGAGTTTGAGGTTTTGCATTTATTACAATTTTAGTTAGACTCTCTAATTTAGAAAAATAAAGTTAAAGCCTAGTTAGCAAAAAGTAAAGGTTGGTCAGTTTTGTTCAAAGTTTTATTTCAATCATTTCAAAAGAGTTTCCATCATCTGCTGAAGCTATCTCAGATAGATAGCAGAAAAATTTGTAAAATGAAAGTTCCAAATGCTGTGTTTTCTCTTTGATTTAGTAATAGAAAAGGTTCCAAATGCAGGATTTACACCTGTATAAACTGTTTTTATGTTTTTATGTCTGTCATTACGTTTCTCTTTTAATTTTATGAATACAGTGAACTTTAAAGTAAAACCATAACTTTTATTGTATAGGAATTCCTTCATGTTTTTTATATGTGGTTTGTCTTGTAATCATTGCAGGAAGTGTTAATATTTTTAATTTTTATATTTATTATAGTTTGAGAATAATGTTCATGGTGACTTGTTCATGAAACTTACTATTCAGTTGTTTTCTGTTTAAATGTGTAAGGATTTGGTTTTCTGATGGAAATGGAGAATGATAACAGCTTCACACAACAGACGGCAAGGCCAAAATTTGATTGTCTTCTATTTGGTAAGCTTTGTAATGAGTACACTGTACAGAAAAATTCCACCTTTGTGCATTCTGCTATATAATAACTTATATTATTTGCAGATTTAGATGATACTTTGTATCCTCTCAATTCTGGCCTTGCACTTGCAATTCACCAAAATATCAAGGGTAAGTGACTGTGCCACACTTGTGCTGTTATAGTATTTTCATTATTGTGTTTGTAGTTGCTGCTGAATTTTTGACATGGTTGATCTTTAGATTACATGGTGGAGAAACTTGGCATAGAACCAAGTAAAACTGATGAAATGACCAACCTTCTTTACAGTAACTATGGAACTACTCTTGCTGGTTTAAGGGTGTGATTTCCTCTATTTGTTCACAATTATCATTTACGATAAATAAGTTTTAGTTGTTATTAAATTCTGGAAAATACTGGTAATTTATTTACTGCCATGCATTTCATTTTCTGTTCAGGCAATTGGATATGACTTTGATTATGAAGAATATTACAGGTAGTGTTGCATCTTTCTTTTCGCCCACATCACTTTGAAATGACTAATGAGTGTTTCTTTTTTCAATATGCCTGAGTCTCTTTAATCTGAAATGGTGATATTTGACTCTTCAAAATTTTGTTGACAGTTTTGTTCATGGAAAATTGCCCTATGAAAACTTAAAGCCAGATCCAGTTCTGAGGAATCTCCTGCTGAGCCTTTCTTATAGGAAGCTTGTAAGTTGTTTATAACAAAAATGAAAGCAGTACAATTGCAAAAAAAACATCATGACATTCAAAAAATATACATTTATTAGAAATTTTATTATATATTATTATATTAATTATGTCAAACTATATTTTCTTTCAAATATATCAAGAAAATATCTTTTATATATATATATATATATATATATATATATATATTAGATTGTCAAATAGTGGTTCTAAAATTTACAAGTTATATTTTTAGTTTCTAAAATGATCACAGATTTTTTTTTTTTTTTGTCTTGATGAATAGTATGTTCCCTCATATAGTACTATATTTAATCTCTCACTCTTGTGTTTGAACACTTGTTTTTGTGAATAATAGATTTTTACAAACTCAGACAAAGTCCATACGATTAAGGCACTGGAAAGACTTGGATTGGAAGATTGTTTTGAAGGAATCATATGCTTTGAGACTCTCAATCCCATCCACAGAGGTACTGTGTATGATGATGAAGAGAACAAAGGTTCAATGGCAACTGATCCAACCCCAAAAACAGCTCTAAAATGCTCAGAAATCTTTGACATCATACAACATTTTGCTGAACCTGATCCCACTGCAGAGCTTCCAAGCACATCAGTTATCTGCAAACCATCAGAACATGCCATTGAATTGGCTCTCAAGAAAGCCAACATTAACCCAAAAAGAACAGTAAGAAAAAACAACCTCAGTTCTGTTAACTTTCACAAATAACTATAGGTTTAATGTTTATTTGTAACATCTCACTTTTTGATTTTATTATCTCTAAAAAAACAATATTAGTAGTTCGTGTCTTTATAAAATGTGTCACATCAAAACATATTTTACACCTTATCCTTCTCAAATTTAAGCTTTTAATTTGATAGTTTGATAATGAGTAAAACAGATTCAATAAATAATTAAAATAGATTTTAATATGATTTTGATATTAAGTTAATTTTAGTTTAATTTTATAAAACTTGTTTATAAGATTTGATTTCGGATCACTTTTATATATGTACATATATATTATAATTTATTTTTATCTTTATAAAATTTTCAATATAATTTCACTACTGGAACAATATAAAAAATGTAGAATTGAGAAAAAATGCATCAATCAGAAAAGGAAAAGAGAAAAATTAGTATCCAAAAGAGCTTTAGCATCTGCTTATGTTTATGAAGTGACTTATTTAACTTCTTATCATATTATATAACCTGTAAATCTATTACTTTTATTCCTATAAATATAAATTAAGTGTTGATAAATTTTTGGCAGTTCAAGAATTATTTTTCTTAAAGCTTTTAAGGTTGGAATACATTTGATACGGTTCTTTGCTACATTCAGCTGTTCTTCGAGGATAGTGTCCGCAACATACAAGCTGGAAAACGAGTGGGTCTTCACACTGTGCTGGTATGTCAATGTTGGGAACTTTGTGTAGTAGAAACTCACTATTTTTTAGGAATTACTTGTCGCTTTATAAGTTTGATAGAATACTATTTTTAATTTTTTTTTATTAGACAAATTTTTGGTAATTTCAAATTTTATCCCAATTGATATATTGGCACCTTTCAAAAAATTTATCAACTGGATAACCTTTTGAATTAACATGTTACCCCTTTTGATTCAAAGAAGCAACAAAGCAAATATAGGCTCAAGTTAGTATATTTATTAAATTTTGGTTTTAAATAACACTAAAAATTTATAAAAAACACCTATTTTTATGTATTTTATATTTAATTTAAGAGAGAGATTAAAGATTGTAAATTAAAAAAAAATGAAAGTGTGATAATATATTTCCTTAATATTTAAGTAGTTGAGGTTCTAAAATTTGATTGGTTGGTACATCCAGGTTGGTAAATCCCAGAGAGTTAAAGGTGCTGACTATGCCATGCAGAGCATTCACAACCTTAGGGAGACAGTACCTCAATTATGGGAAACTGAAATAACAGCACAAGTTATTGCATGTCCTGGGACTCAGAAGCTTGCAGTGGAAACAACACTTATAGTTTGAGACATGCAAGAATGACAGTTTCTATTATCATCAATAAATTTAAGGATCAATTACAATTTTTAGTTCTGACTTTTGAGATAAATTTAGTTTTGGTTTTCTAAATCTTTAAAATATTATTTTAGTCTCTCAAATTTGAAAAATAATTTCTGTAGTCTTTTAGTAATAAATGAAGGAATCAAAAGATTTTTGTGAAACTAGTTTTTATCCTTACATTTCAGAGATTTCAAAAGTTTTTTTTTTCAATTTGAGAGATTAAAATTAGTTTTTTTTTTATTTGAAAACCAAAGTTAGATTCATCTTAAATTTATGGGGTTAAAAATTTAGTTAAATCTGCGTTAGTTTCCCTTGTTCTGTTTTAATGGTTACGATCCTTGATAATTAGTTAAGTTAGGTCATTTGCTTTCTTTTAATAAAAGCATTAACTTTTGTTCTTGCAATTTTGTAGTTTTTAGTTGATCAGGTTATGGTACGAAAAAACATAAAGAAAAAGTTATTGTACCTAATTTAATGCGTTAACTCAAAATATTAAAACATTTTAACTATCTCTATCTATTTTCAAAAATATGTTTTATATTCAACTGAAATTATATTTTCAATTACTTTTTTATACAGATACTTTATAAATATTTTTATAAATAATTAATAAAATTAACTAACTTTCTTTATCATCCCAAGTTTAATTAATTCTTCTAGAGAGGAACCGTGTTCTTAAAATAAAAAGGTGTTTTGTTTAATTGTTATTAAAAAGACAATGTATAATTAATTAATGTTCGAATATAGAATTTTATAAATTTAAGAAAGAGAAGGCAAAATGGATTGGGCAATGAACATGTCAATCTGAGTAAGCCAATTCATTAAGCCCAGAAATAGATGGGATGGCTCATCCCGCTAACCCATGACTTTGTATTGTGGTGTCTTATGTTGTTTAATTTTATATTATTTTTTTATTGTGAAAATTTGGAAGGAGAAAATTGGATATAGATATCTTTCACTAGAAAGAACAAAACTATATATTAGCCATTAAAAAACTGTACTTAAACAAAAATAGGAAAAGAAAATAAATTGGGCTAGCCCATTTCATCATAAAACCATACTACAGAAAAAAAATTATCAGTTATAATCTGGTTTTTCTCAAACAGAAGACTCTTCTTTAGTAAACACAAGATCGAAATATGATAATATGGTATAATTAAAACAACAAAATTTCTAACTTGTAATTGAATCCTCTGCTCTGAATAGTACATAATATGAAAGATCTAAAGAATACCCAACCCAAAACAACTAAGCATCATAGGTGAAATTCTTGTTGACACCACTAGTAGATAGTGAACTAACTCAAGTACTTTTAGGAGAGGCTAGCATTAGGTTCCACCTAATAACAGGTACCATGTGAAAAAGAAAGTCACAATATACTTGTCACTGACATTCCTCTGATATAAAACATATAATCTACACCAACTATGAGTCTCATTATGACTGACATAACAAATCTAAGACATTCCTTATGTAGATGATTACTCCTATGTTGGATTTAAAAAAACATACTTCATAAAGTATAAATCTACGGTATTCAATGTGCAGATCTCTCTTTGTTTCAGAACTGTTTTCTCTTTGGGTGTACAAAGATGTTCAATTTGATTATCATCCGATCTATTCCGATCACATATAATCCTTCTCAATACAATTTCTCTGATGTGGTAAGAAAATAGGTTGTTTTTGCATTAGTACAAAGTCCAGAAAAGGCAAATGCAAAATCACTAGAAACTCATTAAAATATCAAACAGGTTCAAAATGTTAAGTCAGCAGTAATGAGTACCTTAAAATCAGCCATTCATCTCAATCAGTCGTCAACATCTTCCGGTAGACGAGGCTCGCCAAACCATCTAGGTGGATCATAACCATGCCCACCTAAAGACATAACGAATATACTTGTAGCACATTTAAAACCAATTATGTAACTTAAAATCAGAACAAAAATAACAAGTATGCACAACACTATCAAAGTAATTGGTCAATACCATACCAAGGGGATTGCATCGACAGAGACGCCAGGCAGTCAAAACTGTACCCTTCACCACTCCATATCTCTTATAAGCCTCCATGGAATATTCACTGCATGTAGGAACATAGCGACAGCTCTTGGGCAAAATTGGTGAAATTTCTCCTGTACACATGAACAATATCATGTTTGGGTAAACCAAGCTTAATCAAACATTTATTCAATATTATTCTACCAAATAAGAACCTATTTATAGGGTTTAAAAAATTCAAATGTGAGTTTAAATATTGGTATATGAATAAAGATGAGAAAAATTGAAATGAGAATGAAAAACAGTTACTCTTGTAGAATCTCAACATGGACAGCGCAACTTCGACTCCTAAATTTTTCACCTCGCCATCTGATGAAAAATTTAACAGTAAAAATTAAATTATTTGACAAGTGAATTAGCTTAGAAGAGAGAGAGAAGAGGGTACCTTGGATTGTTTCAGGGTTGGAATCTTCCTTTAATGCACAAACCAATGGGGTGTGATGATGTGGTAGGGTTCTGAAAGGATAGTGGAGTGGATTTATTTTGATTTTAGGAGAAGAGAAATTAGGGTTTTGATTTAGAACGGAAGAATAAGAGTTGTGAGTTAGAAAAAGATTGGCCATGGTGACGCCAAGACACAAGCACCACCGCTGTGAAGCCTTCAGACCAGCACCAGCATTAGTGACTGACAACAAAATGTGTTATATTGAGAGCGATAATTTGAGGAGATGAGTTCAATTTATTTTCTTTAAGAAAAAAAGGTTAAGATTCAATTGTATTTTTATTTCTTTAATCTTTGTAAAAAACTTTATTAGTAAAACAAAGGCTTTACAGCATAAAATAATACAAAGTAATTTTTCAAAATATTCAAAAAATAGTGTACTTTTACTATTACTAATATTGTGGTGAGTACATGAAATATTCAAAATCAATTACTTTTAAAGAATATATTCCCAATAGTAAACAAACATGAATATACTATTGCTTGTTTTGAAATTTCCAAAAAGTATTTCTAAATTAAATTTTATAAAAAATACTTTTATAATCTTAAGCAACCAATAGTCATTATATATATATAAAAGAATTTACAAGAAAATTAATATGATGCTAAAGGTATGAATTAATTTTCTGACAAGTCATTCTTGTTAAAAAAAAATGTGTCTAACTAATTATCTTTAAGGAAATTATCCTTTATGTATACACTTTAAATGAACACTTAATAATTTAATAGATTTGAAATCAATTTCATATTTACATACTTTTATCTTTATATATTTAGTTTACTTTTATTATGAGTTAAAATTATTAAACTAAACTTCATTTATATTCATGAATATTAAAGCATAAAACAATTTTAAATATGGACAGACAACAATTTAATTTTTAACATATAGTTTGTTTAGAGATAACCCATAATTTTAATCATGATAAATAATAATAAATTTCAAAATGCAAAACGACAAAAACTAGATGACACATAATGAAGATATACTAAGTATGTTTATAAATAGAAAAACATAAGTGTAAAATTTAAAGATCTAGAATGACATTTTAAAAATGATAGTAATTTAAAATTAGTGAGACTTAATTATTATAATATTAATAGGTTTTAATATAAATAGTTTTGTTAGGAAAAAGTTTTATTATTTTAAAACATACTCTCTTTAAACCACTTTCTTTTGGAGTTTTTTAACTTCTTCTTAGGAGTTATTATCATATGTTTGTCTTAGAAGAACCAAAACCATAAAATTGATCTTAAGAGCAAGTTTTTCAATTTGAACTAATCAGTTTCTCTATTTGAATAAGTTGAGTTTCAACCCATTTTTCTTTAGCCTTTTGTATTTGTTACATGTGGGTCCCACTTAGCTTGCATTGGTCTTTTGAGTCATCATATTTACTCTTTGTTTATCAGTGGTTCTAACGGTGTACCATGATCGTATTTCTGTTATCCATAGGAGCAAATAGAGTTTCATACATGTTTAGAGTTGTTTTAACTTTCTAAAGCATTCAGGTAAAGAAAACTAATTATCTTGCTTTAGTTTTATAGATTGTTTGATAATGTTAAATTTCATGTCTAATTAGTCTGTAATTTGTGATTGAGCTGTTGATAACTATGATCTTTTGAGATGGTTGTGGTTTGCTTGAATTTGTCTGTTTGTTGTTAAGAAATTGAAGAATCCATCCATTTGAACAAATTGATATGCACTCTAACATTGAAACATGGTTTTTAACTAAGCACTGAGTCAAGAATACAAATTTGATCATATGAATAGGTCCTTGGTTTTCCAAATTAGATAATTTAATGTGCAAGTTTTTTAATTTGACATTGAGCACAAGTTTGGTAGTAAAGGTATGGAAGCATTTCAGCTTCAGACCATTGAATGCTACATACTTGGTTAATAGTGGAAAGGTAGATGGGGAGTGACTTTGTATTACAAGGGGCTCTACTGGTGGATATACCACCTTAGTTGCCTTGCTTTTAAAGAAACTTTTAAGGCTGGTGCTTCTCTGTATGGTAGTCTAAGTTTGCTTGGGGAAAAGATTTTGGGCTCAAAGAGGCATTTAGGGAAGGTTGGTGGCTTTTGTTGGATGAGCTTTATCTTAATCAACAATTTGTTTTAGAAGATCTACATTGTGAAGGCCATGAAAGCAAAAGTACAAGTGCTACCAAAACAAGTGTTGGTGCAATGGAAAAATGGGCATGTCAAAAGCAGTCATGCGGGAAGATACAACTTCCTCAATTCAACCTTGAGGGCAAGGTTGTTCTGCAACAACGTGTAATGATAGGATATAATGTGTATGAGAGGAGGAAACAAATTAAAAAGAAGTTATTAGTTAGGTTGTTAGGATATAATATGTCAATGCATGTATCTAGATAATTGGGTGTAATGTCACTTGTTTATGTGTATCTATATGATTTCTTGTATAACCCAAGATTAGATTTTATCTAATGTGATTTAATTGTATATGAAAACTCTTTTAGTAAATTAGTTTATCATTTCTTTTTTATTGTCTATCTATTTGTTTTTTCTTGTTGCAATGATCACCTTGGTGGTGAAAACATAAGAAGATATTTTAGTTGATCCGTGAGAGAGATGACACAATGTAGTTAGATTTAGTTATATCATATAGAAACTTTCTTCTTAAAATTATAGTTTTCGGTTGTTTATATAACTTGTTATACTCGGTACATGCTTTATGGATGATTCTAATATAATAGTTATATTTCTATCTCACTTGCTTATTGATTATTATTTATATAACTTATTTAATAATTTTACGTTGAGATATTACATAAAACATCTACTACGTGTCATTAAAAGATAAGTTGCTATTCTATCCACTTAGATGCCACAAAACACGATTTTGAATTACTGGTTGGTATACTTTTCATCAACATTGGCTCGAGGATTTCCAAATAGATTCTTACGAAAGGAAATTCTAGAGTTCATATCATAAGTTCAATTTACTGTTGTCAATNCCGTGAGAGAGATGACACAATGTAGTTAGATTTAGTTATATCATATAGAAACTTTCTTCTTAAAATTATAGTTTTCGGTTGTTTATATAACTTGTTATACTCGGTACATGCTTTATGGATGATTCTAATATAATAGTTATATTTCTATCTCACTTGCTTATTGATTATTATTTATATAACTTATTTAATAATTTTACGTTGAGATATTACATAAAACATCTACTACGTGTCATTAAAAGATAAGTTGCTATTCTATCCACTTAGATGCCACAAAACACGATTTTGAATTACTGGTTGGTATACTTTTCATCAACATTGGCTCGAGGATTTCCAAATAGATTCTTACGAAAGGAAATTCTAGAGTTCATATCATAAGTTCAATTTACTGTTGTCAATACTATAAAAGGGAATTCTAGAGAGATATAGCAAGTTGACTACTATTGTACTGTTACAAAAGGGTTCTGGGAACATGGGTCATTTTTCCATGTTCGAACTAGGATCGAGATCTATGATGTGATACAATCAAGCGCTGAAATAAATTTGAGTAGATCTTTGGAATATTATGTTACCTTGAAACAAGGAATAACAGTCTTGTAAGTCAGGTTTTATCAATTTTCAAGTACTCCGAGATTCTTTAGCTGTTTTTTAGTACTCAGAATTTTGTATTGAAAAGTGCCAACAATATTCCTATAAAGAAGTACAAGGATAAGCAAACACTCATACATTGTACGCTTAAACGGAGTTCTTGGTTCAACTCAACCACTAAATCATAACATCATACTTGTGGGTCAATTTTCTATCACTCCAAAATGTTATATGATCGCTAAAATATGCTTCCATGTTTTCTATTTTTTCAATTGCTTCGATGACTTTGTCAATAATAAATTCATTCTTCCTAATTGTAGGCTTACAGCAATTTTAAAAATCTTATAAAATTACGTACAATTTAAAACATCTAGAAAGAAATTATAAAGAATTAAAAGCATAAATATGAATTTTTTATTCAATGGTATTATTGAGCTACATTATTATTTATTTTGGTGTCTATAATCTTTAACATGATTTCCAAATCATTTATTGAACATTGATTATTATAGGGCATCCCTCTTCAGTTAATAAATAACGACCATTGCATTATCTATCAAAAACGAGCTGTGATATTGGAAAACAAAGCCTTGAAGTCCTTCGTTGGGGTACCCACTCCCTCAGGTTTTGATGCCAAGTCAAATGCCTTGAATTTGACCTCCTCAAAATTCAGTGCCTGTCAAACGAATTGACTCAAAATTCGATATACAAATCTCGTAATGAGTTGAAAACAGATTATGGTTGAATTTTTATGACACATGGGAAACTAATTATTTTTACTGGTGAACGAAATAAAAAGTACTATAAAGAACCTTGGTTAGAAAACTAAAAGTGAAAAGCTTTTACTTAATATGTAAAAATGTTTTCGCTTGTGATTTTCTAAGGGTACTTTCATAAGATATCTAATAGAAACATCTTTTAATTCCTTGACCAATGATGGTTAGCAAGACCTTATAAAAAATTATATACCTGAATGCAGACTTCGGCAACATCAGCTCGAGGAATGGTTTTGGTTTCAGTCTGAAGAAGCTCGTCATCTTTTCCCACAATGAGTTCCCTAATCCCTCCTTCTTTATCTAGCAAACCACCGGGCCTGATTCAGCACAAAACGTGAGGAAATATTATGCAGATGGACACAATTTTGAAAAATGTTCAAAAAAATGTCACTCCAAAAATTTTAAATTTACATCGCCAACAAGAATATCAATGTATGTCCAAGACCCAGTAATTATGTAGTAGATATAAAGCAAATGAAATCGAATTTGTATTGCTACGCATCAGATTCAAATGGAGTAATGTAGGCACCAAACGAATTAACAAATATCAATGTTGTTCCCTCAGAATCTTCAAAAACTTTCATAAACAAGACACGGCATCAAGTATCAATATTCTCTTAATATTGCTAGATAATGCACTCAACCAAAACAGATATCAAGATAAGGTTGTTGAGTTGATTCAAGAGAATGGGCCAATATAGTAAAACAAAACAGAGAGAAACGTAGGACAAACAATACTTCTTGATATGGATAGAAATTAGTGTACCTTATGATTGTGTATGTAAGACCAGAATCAGCCAGATACTGTTCAGCCTTTCGCTTCCAAATCTGAGATCAATATAAAACTATAAGCT